CAACAATAAAATACCGGGTGAAAATGGATTAAACAAGTTGTAAAGTGAAGATTTGAGAATTTTACGAATAATCCGAGAACAACTTGTTTAATGAATGTTCACCACACTACCTAAGCTAGAAGGAAAAAGTAATAATGAAACAAAAATGGAAAAAACATGCTTGTTTTACGTCGTAAGCTCGACGCCTTTATTGTGCTTAGCTAGTAACTTCCTTCCTTCATGCCATGTGATGTCTCACCGCGCAAACCAAAAGCAAGTGTCCTAACCAACCACTTGAACAAATGTTACGAGAACAAAATATATACAACACTTGAACAAACATAATAGAAGACAAAAGCAAACCAAATATCTATACAAGCATATATATATATATATATATATATATATATACAATTATGTGCAAAGCTTAGAAATATAGAAACTATCGCAATGCAACTCAATATCAAAACCAATCCCCGGCAACGGCACCATTTTGTTGAAGCGGTAAAGCAGCAAGCAAAAATTTTATTTTCGAAATAATTTCCTCCGGGATTTATCGTCTCCACAGGGATCAGTGTGAGGGAAAGAATGCCATTCGACAATCTCTACGTCTCTAAGCTTGGGTTTGAATTGTTTGGAATAAAAATTCAAAAGGAAAAACATAAAACAAGAAAATAAGTACATTCTTAAGAAATGAGAAAACTCGTCAGGAGTTGTATTTCGTTATACCCGTCATGTACTAAAAAATATATGGATCAAATGCACGCAACCTAATTCGCTCGTCAATATCATCACGTATCGCTCACAACAGAGTTTATCTCTAACACAAAGTCGAGAGATCAACCGTATCGTCTCATTGTTGATCTCTCACACAAATCGACAACACGGAGCATTAAGAATCGATACCCACGTGAATATTAGTCCTAAATCTATCTCTAGCATTTAGAATCTAATAGATGTTCATCTAAGATCGAGTTCGAACAGTATATGTCTATCACAATCCAAACCCATTAAGTAAAAAATCAAGATAAGCATCGATAAAGAGTTGTAAAAGAGATTTTATACAAAGATCCATAAATATACATACAATCAAGATAAACTTACATACAAAACCCCAACAAATGAAAAATACATAGAGAGGAAGAAAGAAGAACACAAATCTCACGGTCTGTCAACTCCGATTGAAGTGGATTCGACTCCGGATCGTCAAGATGCACCCTCCAATGTTGTTTCTAAGCTAAATCTACTCAAGAATGTGTTTGATGAAGTTGGGGTAAAAAGTTCCCAAACAACATGCCCTAAAAAATGCTGAAAAATCACTTAAATGGACAAAATTGGGTCCCAGTATTCGCCTGGCGAAGTCCCGTTCGCCTGGCGAACATATACAACTTTTGCTTCTGTGAAAACAGTGTTTTTCACGCGTTTTTGAACTTTCGGTTCGCCTGGCGAACTTTTGTTCGCCTGGCGAACATTCGCCTGGCGAACTTTGGCGAACATGACAGCAAACCAACTTGTTTCGACCATAACTTTTTAACCGTAACTCCGTTTTTCGCCCGGTTCGAAGCGTTGGAAAGCTTATTCAATGCTCTATCTAACAATGCTCCAACATCAATGCTTTATTACCTACAAAAATGAACGAAATTCAATTAAACTCAATGATATTTACAGGAAAACATAATATATACACTATAACGTAAAGTAAACGCATTTATAAACAAAGCGGGGTTTATTCGAACGATTTTAACATAAAGTAACGTTAAGTGCAACAAAACTTATATACAAAAATAGGTAAAATTTGCACTTAACAGTCTTCAACTGTGATGGTTCGAAAAGCCGGGGACGAATGGTTTTAGCCTTGAGTTTGTCAAAAGTTGTTGGGACATTATAGGCATGGATGTAGTGAATTGTATAGTAAAGTTTCATACCACTACAAAGCTTCCAAAGTCTATGACCTCATCCTCTATTGCTTTGATTCCGAAAGTGGAGAATCCGCAATTTCTTAAAGAATACCGGTCGATATGTTTGATTGGTTGTTTATACAAAATCATTTCGAACTTCTAGCTGCTCGGCTTAGGAAGGTTATTGGTAAGCTTGTGTCTCATACGCAAACTGCTTTTATTCTGGGAAGAAATATTCTTGATGGTGTTGTTGTTCTTAATGAGCTTCTGGATTATGCCAAGCGACATAATAAGTGATTCATAATGCTTAAACTGGATTTCGAACAAGCGTATGATTGCGTCGACTGGGAGCATCTGATTTTTTTCTTCAAGACACATGTTTTGGCTCAAAGTGGATTAACTGGTTGAAGGGCAGTGTTCTTTGCAGCCATCTTTCCATTCTTGTGAATGGTGGCACAATGGCAAATTTCAGAGCTTCTTAAGGATTTCAAAGGAATCTGTTATCCCCGTTTCTTTTCTCCTTGGTTGTTGAAGGCCTTACGCTGATGGTCCGAAGAAATTGTAGATTGGGAAAGCTAACAAGAATCTCTTTTAACAACAATTCCTATTACAATATCCTTCAATTTGTGGATGACATGATGTTGATGTGTGACGCTACTTGGGCGAATCTTTGGGGGATGAAAACTATTCTGCGTGGTTTTGAAATGGTATCGGAGGTCAAAATTAACACATGGAAAAGTAGTTTAATTGGCATTAGAGTTAACTCGAGTTTTCTGTATGCGTCTTCTCAGTTTTTAGCCTGCAAGGTAGGTTCTGCACCGTTCAAGTTTTTAGGAATTAAATTAGGGGGTAATCATAGAGCTTGTTCCTTTTGAAAGCCAGTGGTTAATGTGTTTAAGTTCAAGCTTTCTTCTTGGAATAGGAGGTTGTTGTCGATCGGGGGAAGGGTAACTTTCATAAACTCAGTTTTGACAAATCTGCCCATACATTTGTTTTCTTTCTTTCAGGTGCCGATGGCTGTCCTCAATGAGATTGTCGGGATTCAAAGAAACTTCTTATGGGCTGGAACAACGGAGAAATTGTCCTTGGGTTGGGTGAGTTGGAGTTCTGTGTGTTGTGCCAAAGAGAAAGGGGGTCTTGGTAATCGAGATATCCATTTGTTCAACGAGGCTTTGGTAGTAAAGTGGCTATGGCATTTTTGAAGGAAAAAGATGTCATTTGGGAATGGATTATCAGAGAAAAATATGGCGATTTCAATTCAATTTTGTTGAATAGGGAGGCTTCGGTTGGGAACAAGTTGCATTCTCTTTGGTGGCGCGACATTCTTAGTTTGAGAGACGATAATATTTTGGGAAGTTTTTTGGATGGTCTAACGTTCGGCCTTGGAAGGTGTGACGCTATTTTATTCTGGAAGCATAGGTGGCTTGGTAATGCCCTGTTGTCAGTTTTCCTGCATCTGTTCGCAGCGTCTGATGCGAAAAACTTATCGGTTAGTCAGGCTGGTTATAGGGTGGGAACATAATGGGTTTGGAATCAAATTGAGATCAATTATGGCCGGTCTGTTTTGGAGGCGCGGGAGATATTAGAGTTGCAAGCCTTATTGGAGCAGGTGCAGCCCGGGAGGGGAGTGGACGACGAAATTATTTGTCCTTAGAGTGATCACAAGTTCTTTACTGTCGACTCGCTCTACCGTAGGTATCTTAATTTTGAAACTCGAATATTATTGAGCCAAAACACAATTTTTGCTTTAGATTTGTTGTGGAAAACGGTAATTCCTCTGAAAGTGAAGGTCTGTGGTTGGCGTTTGTTGATTGATAGATTACTGACTAGATCCAACTTATTAAAATGCAACATTATAAGTAACCCGCACAATTGTGTTTGTGTATTTTTGTTTTAATGGAGGACTCTAACCATATTTTCTGTGGTTGTGAGAAAACTAGATTGGTTTGGAAACGAGTTTGTCTTTGGTTAGGTCTGAAGTGGTTAATTGACGGCGATTGCAACAAGTTCTTGATGGAGTGGTTTGTTTGGTGAGGACCGTCTGCTTTGTTCAATCCACCTGTTTCTTGTGATTTTCTACTTGTTGGTCATTATGGAATTCTAGAAATTGTATCATCTTTAACGATGAGTTTTTCAATTCAAAAATTGTTTTTCAGAGGAATGTTAATTTGTCTTGATGGTAGTTGGCTTTGGAGAATAAGTATAGTAACAATGTTTGATGTAGTTATTATGAGTGAGTCTCTCATCCTTGAGATTTTTTGTGATTTTTAGTTTATGAGACTTTTATAATTGGGTTGGAGTATCTCTCGTACTTCCATCTAATTAATTTTGTTTATAAAAAAATCAATACTCATTAATTAACTATATAAATATTTAAAATAATAAAAAAATGTATTTTGAAAATAAAAATGTAAAACTTTGCAATTTTTGATTTTCTAAAGCAACAATTGATTAGAAAGTAATAAAATGCACGCACCTTGTTTAATTTTCCTCATTCTGCATTATTTTATTGGTAGTAAAATTTTGGAAAATTATTGTTGCTAGTAAAACTTTAGTATATGATATGTTATATACTAAAATATCAAATAAGCATTTAAAATATTAATTATAATTAAGTACATGATAAGTTTATTTATAATTTATTTTTGTAAATATATATCGGTATACACACATGATATGATAGTTTTTTTTAATAGGAAAGCAGACATCAATATATACAGAAACACCATCTATAGTATAATATTACACGTTGTGATTAAAACCAACCTAAACAGATACACCATCTATAGTATGATATTACATGTTGTCATTAAAGCTTATCAGGTGACTAAGTATGGCAAAAGGATTTAACATATCCTACTACCCTGATACATGTGGACAAGTCATCGATGTTCCAGACGCAATGTTAAATTGTTAGCATTTTACATTCAATGAAAATTGAAGACCAACAAGTTATGATATCATCTCCTAGAATAATTAAGTTCGGCTATAAGATCTTCGGCTACAAGATCAAACAAACATGAAAAAGTTAATTAAAATTTTTAAAATGATATAGATGCATTTAATTAATTGATTAGTAAAACAACAAATCTTAAGAATATCAGGTGTAACTAGATTCGGACCTTAGGATGAAAAAGATGCAACTACAGGTGCCAAAGCATTTTCTAATTCATGAGACTTAAATATTGTTGCCATGAGAGTTCTGCAAAATAATTTATAAAAAGAAGTCAAAATTTGTAAAATGATGAGTGTATATAGAAATTACATATCATATACCTTGCATAATGAATGTATTTGTGTATGTTAGAAGCATCCTTTGGTTGAAGGTAACTTTCAACTAAAGGGAAATAATCTGCAACATCTCTAAAACCTTGACCTTGTGTCAAGGCACCAATAGCACCAACTTTTAATGCCTCATCGGTATCTTGGCTACCTTCGCACAAAACAATTTTTCCTTTCACCAACTTAGCATCAAGGGAGTTGGGAGAACAAAACCTTCATTTTTAATTACAATACTTTCATTAGTAAATTATAAACTAAGTTTTCATCTATATTTAATTATATGTTGTTATAAATTTAAATTAGTTACATGGATTTATGACAAATGAAGTGTGTTTATTTGGGACATCTTCACCATAGATAAGAGGATACATTTTTTCTATGAGGTCAAATGTATTCACCAAAATCCCTACCATTATGAATATTAACATAGTATATTATTAATTTAGTTATTATTGTATACAAACAAAATTTTTAAACTAGAAAAAATGAAATAAAAAATTGTTATAGACGGTAAAGATTAAAGATTAAAACATAAATTTAAATGTGCAACCTGTCAGAAGCTAGTTGCATCAGATTTTTGTAGTGAACCAATGATGCATAGATAATGTACATCTGCATTTAAAAAATAACATACATTTATGAGAAATCTGAAAAATAATTTTAAGAATTGTTTATAAACTATAAGGGGAGAGTGAGAGAATAATTGAGGGATGGTTGAGATATTTATAGATAAAGAGGGAGTGAGGGGTTATGTTAGTGAGGTGTTTGTGGTCAGAGGAACGGGGAAGTATATTATTGCTTATATCTATTTTCATTCAAAGTTATGTTTTTTAAAAATAAATAAATTAGTTAATTTAATTCTATTCATAGATTCTTTTTACGCAGAGAATTGATAATAAATACACTTGAAGAAGAAGAATTTTAATTAAAATAAATTATAAAAATTCAGAGCTTATTACAACTATTAGCTTAATTTTCTTATCTAAAAAAATTAACTTAGATCAACAAAAATTCAATAACAATTCACTAATACTATTTAGATAGATTTTAAGATCTTACATATTTAATCAAGAAAATCATAGTTGTTTTGTATGTCATTTACCATTAACATTTGTTAATGATAAATGATCTCTTGCTATGATATAAATCGCAAATGTAATAATATTTGTTGCCCTATACAATGAACCTGCATGAAGAAAAAAAACAAGATTAAACCATTGATAATTTTATAAAAATAAAATAAAAATAAAATAAAACGAATAAACAAATTCATTAGGATTACATGAAATCAACTAACTAAACTATCTAGAGTTTTCTAAAGTTCACAAAACTACAAATTTTCTTTGAAAAAATGTATTATCTCATAAGTTTATAAGTTTATAGTTAGACTTTAAAATAACACTACCCTTTCTTTTATAGGTTAAAATTCAAAAGTAGATCTGAACTAACTCTTATGAATATATACAACATACCATTTAAGTAAACGGCTGAAAAGAGAGATAAGAAGATATGGTGAACTGGTGGTTGTTGATGTGAGGGAGAGATAATGAAGTTTTGGTTGTGAGATATTGACCACTTTTAGAGAGAACAAATGAGAGATTTATTGAACAATGCGAGTGTTGTGGCTTGAAGAGAGTAGCTGTATTTATAAGCCTTACAAAAGGGTGTTGTGTTCTTTTGATGATTATTTACCCTCACCAAAGGTAAGATAGCGTGAGAATCTTAAAAGAAAATTAAAGTGGGCATCCTTGCTTTAATTCTTTTCATATTTTGGGTTTCTTTTGTGTGAAGGATTCTCTTAGGTTGTTTGTCCATATACATGTCTAAGAAAAGTTGACATGTCTTTGTGATAAAATATATGTTTCCATTCACCACCATATAAAATTACATTAAAAATTTATTGTAGTACAACAACAGATATACCGATGTAAAAGCTTACTCAGTTATGTATTTCAATTCATCTAAAAAATTATATTAAATGAATTAAGAACTCACATACTCCTATTAAAAACTTACTACTCCCTTTAATATTATAAAAAAACTTGCTCTGATAAACTTATAAAATAATTTATTTTTAGTATGTTTAATTATTTATAGAGATTAAATGGTACACACTATAAGTGTAAAAAAAATATTACATCATCAATGCATTACAATCATTCATATGAGACATTTTAGATCGGATTAATGAAAAAGTCAAACATACATAAAAATTTAACGATTATGATTAATAAGCAATGTAAAAATTTATGGAACTAGAGCAGTAGTGAGTTTTGGTTATTGGTTGGAGGATTCATGGAACTGGAACCTGAGCATAGATGTAGATGATAATGAGAGAGAGGTAGCAGCTGAACTTCATGATATGTTGCTGCTAGCAGAATTATCGTTGCGGTTCGGTGACAAATTTTCTGTCAAAAGTTATTATGATTCATTACTTAAGGCTATTAGTGATTGTGAGTTGGATATTTACCACAAGACCGCTCTCAAGTTATTGTGGCAAACTAATATTTTCTTGAGAATTAAATTATTTAGTTGAAGATTATATTTGTTTAGACTTCTGTCGCGAACAAATCTGACGGCCAAGGGAGTAATATCGAATTGTTAAGATTTTGTTTGTGTTTGGTAAATTTGTGAATAGTTCGACAAAGATGAGTTAAGATGATCGTTAAAAGTTATGCCCTGAATTGTTATCTTAAAAATGACCTATATTGACAGTTGAAAATCGTTTCCTAAACATTGCAGTCTAGCATTTTTTTTTTAAATGGTATGATTATATACTTTTTTCTTGCATTTATTAAAAAATGTTTTTGTTTTTAATTGGTGCAACATAAATGAGTTAAGAGAAAGGTTTAAAACTGTGGCCTAAACCGTCACCTTAAAATCATATACCTTGCGAAATTTATGTATTTGTGTATGCTAGAGGCACCATTTGGTTGAAGGTAACTTCCAGCTAAAGAGAAAGAGTCAGCAACATCTCTAAATTCTTGACCATACGTCAAGACACCAATAACATTATCTAAATTTTAATTAACTTTTTCATGTTTGTTTGATCTTGTAGCCGGAGATGTTGCTAGCATTTAAAATTGCCTTTGGAACATCGATGACTTGTCCACATGTATCAGGGTAGTAGGATATGTTAAATCTTTTTGCCATACTTAGTCACCTACTGCTATCTGATAAGCTTTAATGACAACATGTAATTTCATATTATAGATGGTGTATCTGTTTAGGTTGGTTTTAAGCCCAACGTGTAATATTATACTATAGATGGTGTCTCTGTTTATATCTGTTTAGGAAGAAATGAAAGACTAGAAGACTTTGTGTTGAAGGGGATCATTGAGTATAGGTATGCTAAGAAACATAATGGTTGGAGGGGAGATTTGAGATGTCTTTCTTGCTCTTGTCCAGTTGAAAACAATCAGCATATATTTCTAGAGTGTGTTTTGGCAGGTAGAGTTTGGAAAGGGATAGAGAATTGGCTTGGCATCATGGTTCAAAAAAGTGGATGTTGCCTTGAATCTTTTGTGGATTTTGATAGTGCTGTCAAAGAAGCTTCGGGTAATTCTACTGCTATTATCGTCTGGACTGCGACGGTGTGCTTCTTGTGCTATGGTAGAAATTCTTTAGCTTTTGAGGGAAAAGTCAAGTCCATCGATGATATTTTGAACTCTTTTAAGTATTTTACCTGGAAATGGTTATTTGTAGGTAGTTCTTATCATTGTTGTACGTTTTTTGAATGATTCACTGCTCCTCTTGAGTGTGTGAAGAGGTTGTAGTCGATCGTATTGTAATTGGGTTTGTGCATCCCTTATACAATTTAATAAATTATTGCTTATAGAAAAAAAAAGTAAATTATAAATTAAGTTTTCATCTGAATTTAATGATACGTTGTTATAAATTTAAATTAGTTTCATGGATTTATGACAAATGAAGTGTGTTTATTTGGGTCATCTCCACCATAGATAAGAGGATACATTTTTTCAATGAGGTCAAATGTATTCACCAAAATCCCTATCATTATGAATATTAACAAAGTATATTATTAATTTAGTTATTATTATATACAATCCAAAATTTTAAAATATAGACTAAATAACTTGTATAACATATGCCACTTTACTGTATTATAATTTTAGATCATTATTTTAAGAGGAAAACCCTATTATACAACTTTAAATTTTGAATAATTGAAGGTCCCTCATATGTTGTGGGGGTTTGATGCTTTCAAAGCAAACTATAGATAAATTAAATCCCATGCAAATGTATATCATATATTGAAACACATAAATGGATTTCCAATCATAAATATTACGACGGATTTGGTGTAGCCTACGTTACATAAAAAAATTCATGTAATCCATTTTTCCAGCATCATATATTAAATTCGAATTTAAAGCTTTTAGATGATCAATTTGACCGGTTCCATAAGCAAAATTCAGCATCATAATTATTTATCGCACTCATTTGTTTGGCTGCAATACAAGAAACACATTATTGATATTTGATTATATTAATTTAAAACATCTTAGGTAAACTATACACATTTCAAATCAAATAAATATAAATTACATAATCTAAAAGCTTTTAGAGTGAGAGAATAATTGATTAAAATAAAATTATAAAAATTCAGAGCTTAATACAATATTAGGTAAAAAGAATTGTCTAAAAATAATTAATATAGATCAACAAAAATTAAATAACAATTTACTAATACTATTAAGATATAGATTTTAAGATCTTACATACTTAATCAAGAAAATCATAGTTGTTTTGTGTGTCATTTACCATTAACATTGGTTAATGATAAATGATGTCTTGCTATGATATAAATCGCAAATGTAATAATAATTGTTGGCCTATACAATCAACCTGCATGGAAAAAAAAACAAGATTAAAACTTTGATAATTTAATAAAAAGAAAATTAAAAAAAATGAATACACATATTCATTAGGGTTACATGAAATCAACTAACTAAACTATCTAGAATTTTCTAAAGTTCATTAAACAACAAATTTTCTTTGAAAAACATATTGTCTCATAAGTATATAAGTTTATAGTTATAATTTAGAAGAACGATACTCTTTTTTTATAGGTTAAAATTCAATAGTAGATTTGAACTAATTCTTATGAATATATACTACATACCATTTAAGTAAACAGCTGCACAGAGAGATAAGGAGATATGGTGGAGTGGTGGTTGTTGAAGTGAGTGAGAGATAATGAAGTTTTGGTTGTGAGATTTGAACTAATTCTTATAAAATAAAAAAAAAGAGTGAAAAATAGGGAGAAAAAAGGAGTGATTTATTGAAAAATGTGAGTGTTGAGGCTTGGAAGAGTGTAGCTGTATTTATAAACCTTACAAAATGGTGTTGTGTTCTTGTGATGATCATGTGCATTTATTTACCCTCACCAAAGGTAAGATAGCGTGAGAATCTTAAAAGAAAATTAAAGTGCCTCACTTTAATTCTTTTCATATACTGCTAGCATTAAGTATAGCAACTTTCTTGTGTGCACTTACGTGGTTAAATTGACAGCAACCATTCATATTCAAAACCAATTTAACCTTTAC